TGTTTGAAATATGAACACTTCTATGGGGTTGCATATACAGGGTGTTTGAACTATAAACACTTCTATGGGGTGTTTAAAAATATGAACACTTCTATGGGATTTGCTACATACTGAAGAGTATTAACATTGTAAACACCACGTATGCAGCATGGTTATTACAATAATAATATCTGTCCAGTAAAAGAGGATGTGGCTTCCACTGTAGTCAAACGCGTGAGGATTCTCTTTGAATTGAATTCCGTTAGTAGGTCGTCGTCTGGCACTGGGCGTTTCCAATCAAAAGAATAAACTGTACACTAACCGAAACTCTTTGTTTCGCGTTGGTTGTTTTCTCGGACGCGTAAAACAGAGTCTTCCTTTACTCGACTTTTAACACCACTCTTTCTACATTCCGTGTCCTTAAGCCTTCATGTGTCTAGTGGTAACTATATGTACCAACTCTTTTAGCATTCAGTAACTCTGCATTTTGCCGGCGATGTATTTGCGGGTTTCATATAAATGTCATAAATTAACCGCGATTATATCCCTAAACAGCATTAACTAAATTATGAATTTCTTGCTTTAAAGGGAATGCTGTTTCAAAAAATTATAATTAAGTTAGAGCCAAGGAATTTCGCAAATTGAAGTCTTCCGAGTGGAATGTCGTTATGCGTTTTATGATTTATGTTCTCCACCTGAAGTGGCGTCTTCTGGATTCTGTTACTTGGCGTCCTTGCCCGAATTAAGGAACTAGCACTTGAAAGGTACTCGTAGTGAGTGGCGTCCTTGCCCGAATTAAGAAACTAGCACTTGAAAGGTACTCGTAGTGTTTGCGTGTTTGCAGTGCTAATGTAAGACCATTAACACTCAAGGTTAAATGATACACATTCAGTACTTTCTCTAATTACGTCATCATGGAAACTCTTGTGTTGTCGATTTTTTCTGTACACACTGAATTTGTTGACATTTCCTTTTGAATTTGCTGCTTACGATTGCCTGATTTTGAAATCTACAAGATAACGTATCCCTAAGTAAACATTTACAAATCAAATGCATATTATTGTTTTCTTTTCTTACGAATTTACATTAATCCAATTAGTTTTCATCCCTGCCTTTGTAAGTGCATACGGATGGACACAGAGTGTGCTAGAAGTGTTTTCATTTTCTGTACTTTGCCCGAAGACAATCATAAATGCTAGTAATCCTTTCACAGCTGCTCGGCCGATAATGTAACTAATCGCATGATCACTCGGCCGATCGCGCTCTGGCTCTTGAAACCGTCCATATGAATTATGGAACAAGAGGAGACGAACAACAAACCCGAATAATTTGGGCGTACCTTCATCGTATGAAGTCAGAAAGTCTTACAAATAATAAACATTCAATTCTAACCTCAAAGAGAATACTGAGTGATTCTTACATAAATAATCGCTGTTTACACTGAGAAGCATAAGCACACTCTGTCGGCAAAATATAGAATTGCTGACAAATGTTAAAGTAGGCTTCGAATGATTAGGATAATTGCGCCAAATGTCTTCTGTGAAACAGGTGGTTGTTACAAAAAAAAAGAAGGTGGGATGGCGAGGTCTCGGACCGCTGTTATTCAGCACAGTAACGAGTTAAGTAGAGCAGTCTTAGACTTTCTAATCTAATGTTCTTTGTTACTTTGGAGGTTTGTGCGAGCAACTGGACCGGCAGATGGAGAAAAATGTGGAACAATGGACACGGAACACAGCTTTATTTGTAGGTTCGCGTGTCGATTTCATTCCATTGTTGTGCTTGCCCCGAGCACGACAGAACAGGCTTTGTTTTTTTAGCGTAACTTGTTGTTAGCAAAGGTTCAAGTGGTTTGCCTGTTCCAATGGAAGTTACGCAGATGATGTTCTTTGTCTGAAAAACCTAACTCGAGACTTCAGGCATTGAAATTCTACCCTTGCGAATGCATTACAAACTTTTCACAACTGAACTCTGAGCAGGTTAGTTTAGTGATAACGCGTCTGACTTAAGACTTCAATTAAGACAGTATTGTTGGAATCTGTGCTGCCTCGAAACTGTTCTTCGTTTTACTCAGTCCCTAGACGCATAATTCTACATGGTCTACCAATCTACCTCATTATACGGAGCTGCCTAAACACTTTGCATGCTTTATAGTGTTAAAAAAGACGGGAATATTTTATAGCATGTGAGGTTTTCCAAGTGTTAAAAAAATACGAGAATATTTTATAGCATGTGAGGTTTTCCCGGCTCTGAAGATGGAAGCAATATGTTCCTCCGAAACGTTGGCATGCATCTAAAACATTCCACGGTGGAACAACTTAGAAGAGGATTTTGAACTTTCCTGGAGGGACTGAAGCAAATTAACGAAAGCATTCGAAATATTTGTCTCGGTGATTATCATTATAACCAGAGATAATTTCCTTAAACAGCGTTAAGTAATCGATCTTTGTAATGGTAAAGTGTTGTGTTTTCTTCGCGGTACGGACTGAATTATTAAATGTTATTTAGACGAGCTTCGGCTTGAACGTATGAAAAAAATACTTTATTAATGTTAAGGAAAATTACACAAAAGTATTATTGTTAGTTTATTGATACTTTCATATTCGTTTATTTCGTGTCTTTTGCGTTAATTGTTGCGTTTTAGCTCTTGGTAACTCTGCACGAGATAACACGTTTCCCAGTTGTCGCTACGAAAAAGCACGCACAATGCAAGATGATTTTTCATTTGTCTCCCGACTTTACATCTTACGTTTAATTGCAAATGAAATCTTCGATTGCAATTGAAATGACTAGACGATATTTGTACTTACCGCTCTGCTCCAAGTTTACCAACTGATCTCGTCACTCCTTGATGTAAAATGTTATTTGAGCAAAACCGCGATGTAGTGGTTCGTGGTTGGGAGGGGAAAACGAAATGAGTTATTGTGACGTCACGTTCACGTGGCCCAATCCGATCAGCGTCCGCCGTGAAATGTTTATAAGAACATTATGTGACATAGTATCACCAATTACAAAACTGGTCACTGTGCAACAATTATTGTCTTGTAATGAAAGTTAAGACCATGGTGGTATAGCGGTTAGAACGCTGGCCTTGTAATCCTGGGGGTCTCGGGTTCGATTCCCGGCGGTGCCCGAATTTATAACTTGTGTTGGGCAAGGCCGTGGTCTAGGCAACACGGAGTTTTCCTCCGTGGCATCCCAACAATTACCCCATTCACACACAGAAGAAGGCAATGGCAAACCACTGCTGGATCTAATAAATATAAAAATGAAAGTTAATTAATGGGCACAACATGTTTATTTCGTTGTTTTACCATTAACTCTTTCGGCACGCATTTGTCATATAAAATCTAGGCGGATTTATATTAAATTTGGTACGAGAAACCTTGATTATTAAAATATTGATATCGGGTAATGAAAATTATAATTTTACTTGCTGATTGTAAAGATGTCGTTTTGTGGGTAATTTGTTTGGAAATCATTAACCTCTTGTATTTTTCCGGATGTATGTATTTTTATTGAAACGTAAATAAGCCACTGAAAAATTTTCTGACGAATCTAAGACAGGAACTCTGAGAATTTCTGGGCGTCGTGCAAAACACGAACACTTTCAAGGTGTGTACTGGAAATGGAATGTGGACTATACTTAATTTCAACACGTGATGGAGGTGACAGGTCATCTTTACGATGTGGATACGTTACCGCTGAGAACAACCGATGTTTCTCAGGAATGATGGTATCCACACGGCGCAACAGCCCAGAAGACCTGTATGCAAAATCCGGACAATAAGGTGTGAGATTTCAGATGTTCGTGTTGTAGTAGGCGACATTCTTACCGACTGATTTCAGATTTTGTTGTAGTAGGTGATATTCGTACCGACTGATTCACTGTCATCGTAGTACATGACCTTCCCAATACAAGACACCAGTATAGTATAATCGGGTAAGTCAATAAGCACAGAGTTGTGTATTTTAATAATCTGTGCCGTACATCGATCATGCAAACGTCGATAAGACTAAAGATCGAAAGGTTTTAAAATTTTATAAAACGCTTATCCCACGGACATACTTATTACAAAAATAAGATATTTATAGACAGATGTTGGCTTGTTTGTACATTTTTAAATATGCATATTATCCGAAGAATAGTTAATTTCAGTAAGTAATTAACCATTATGTAAATAACACGGAAAAATGTATCCCTCCCCCTCAAGGCACCAGTAACGCTGTGTCTATAGTTGGCAGTCATGTTGCATAGCTGAGCCAATGGGAGATAACCTAATAGGCTACAGACCAATAAACAGAATTACGAAGTGGCGTTCCTTCTCAAGGATTTCTGCAATTGTACAACTGACATTACATTCCAACAAAACAGTAAACAAAGATGACTTCAGTAAACCTCCGCCAACAAAAACTTGAACAGCAAGTACGAGATTTATTGCTAGATATGAATATTATTCAGATCGGCCTTGGTGTCAATTCTGGTGAAGTACGTTGCGCACTTCCTTTTTATTAAATATTTTTAAACTGTTTGTTTCAGAGGCAGATTATGGAACAAAAGATGCGCCAGAAACGACAGACTTCTGGCATGGTCCAAGCTTCTGATGTTAGAAGTTTTTCAGCAAAAGGCCAAAATGGGTTTCAGTCCAGAGCCTCTTCAGCAACCAACAGAGGCCGAGAGCTTCATGGTATGCCAGATTTTTGTACCTATCCCATTGTTACTTGCACATAGTTCTGTCTATTCTATTAATGTATCAGTTTAATTCATTCATGCCACAATCTCCACTTTAACAGGTTATGATGGGCCATTGCAGTACACCATGACACCAGGAAATCCAGATTCTGTCATTTCTCTACAGTCAAACAATGATTTACATGAAGAAGGTGAATACAGAGTGTTTTGAAATTAGTAGTTCAGGTTTTTCTCATCGTATAAAAGCCAAATTGTGTTGGAATATAATTGTTGTCAAGTGGAAATGTTTGTGCAGTCAGATTTTTTCTACAAGCTTTACAAATTTCTGGTTAAGTTTAATGGAAAGTGGTGGTTGTATTGGAAACAGTAATAATGCACCTTCTTTGCCTGGTATTTTTCTTTAAATCTGTGTTGAAGTTGTTTATTTATGGGTACAGTTTTGTGAATATTCTCCTCAGCATTATATAATGATTGATGATAAAAGTATGAGAATAGTGACAGTAATCTGTAACTATTTTCCAGATCTGGAATACCAGGTGGAAACTTTAAGCTTATCAGCAGATGATCATCCAGATGTTGAAGATGAAGAATCTACTCCTGTTTCTCCTCACACTCCAGATAATGCAATGAATCTGTCTGTAGGTCCTGCTTCAGAATCAGCCAATTTTATCAACAGCAATCCCGAAGTATGTATGAATTGTGATCATCTGTTACTTGAGACAATGTTAAACACGTGTTCTCGAATGAGATTTAAAATTCTCACGGTGGCAAGTATGAAGATGACCGGGTTGTGCCGCGTAGTCTGGTAGACAGTTACCGATGATTCAGTGGTGCTTTTTGCCTCCATCATCAGGACAGCGAGTCACGAGTAAGCACGCGAAAGATCGGTAAACTTCTGCCAGACTACACATCGCAGAAGACGGTCGGCTTCAGATGTTTTTTTGTGTCATTCAGGACAAAGAGAGGGATGGTGATGTCGAAGGCAGTCTGGAGAGCTTTGTCCTGGAACCGGGATGTCAGAGGGTCCATTACAAGTGTCGCATTACGCGTGATAGGAAAGGGATGGATCGTGGACTGTATCCTACGTATTTTCTGCACTTGGAACGAGATTACGGCAAAAAGGTAAGAATGATTTGTAACTACAGGCTACTGTATTATTAAATATTAACCTTGGGTCCAGTTAACGTCGATAAAAGGAAAAATGGCGTGGAAGTAAATTCAGCGTGAGTGATCGGTTGTAATAAAGAATGGAATATTCATAAAAATTTGTGTTTTTGTTTTCAGGTCTTCTTATTGGCTGGAAGGAAACGCAAGAAAAGCGCGACGAGCAATTACCTCATTTCTACAGATCCGACTGATTTGTCACGTGGAGGAGAATCGTACGTAGGGAAGCTGCGGTCCAACCTCTTAGGAACTCAATTCACTGTTTATGACAATGGTCTTTCTCTTCGAAGAGGCGAGTCGAGAGAAGAATGGAAGAGAAACGGCGCTAGGCAGGAACTAGCAGCCGTAGTTTATGTAATTACATTATGATGCTCTAGTCTACGTTGAGTTGTCTCTTGTTTGTTTCTTGTAGTATGATTTTGTTTGCCAGTTCTCTGCGAAGACAGAATCTAATGTTTCAACATCCAAATATCTTATTTTGGGATTTTAATAAATTACAGCTAATTCTTTAATCGTGGTCAAGAAACCACGAGGGAAGACGTCTATGGTGTGGAGAGGCTATTGGAGTTGCATGACTGCCTGTTGACACCCAATCACATGCAAAATTTGCATAAATGTAGAATAATTTGCTTTTGTAAGACCGTGTTGAGGACTCGAAACTTAATTACAGGAAACCAACGTCTTGGGATTTAAGGGACCAAGAAAAATGACTGTAATTTTACCTGGGATGACGCAGGACCATAAAAGGGTTCAAATATCACCTCAAGATGAACATGAAGGATTGTTAGGTAAATATATTAATTTTGTAATAGATTTTAACTAAGTTCCTGTTAGTATCTTGTCGTCAGCAGACAGGCCGGCAGAATTATCTTAGGGTGGCTAATAAATCCTTTGAAAGTGTGACGAAGTTCAAATATTTGGGAACGACAATAACAAATCAAAATGATACTTGTGAAGAAGTTAGGAGGAGACTAAATTCCAGAAATGCTTGCTACTTCTCAGTTCAAAATATTTTGTCTTCCCGTCTGATTTCTAAGAACCTGAAGATTAAAGTATACAAAACAATAATTTTGCCTGTTGTTTTGTATGGGTGCGAAACATGGTCTCTCACTCAGAGGGAGGAGCACAGATTGCAGGTGTTTGAGAATCGGGTGTTGAGGAGGATATTTGGGCCTAAGAGGGAAGACGATGGGGCGTGGAGAAAACTGCACAATGATGAGCTTAAAAATCTGTACTCCTCCCCCAGTATTGACAG